TATTGTTCACCTTTATAATCTCACCCACCACTCATTTAACTCAAAAGAAAGTTCCTTTGTAACCTCACTCACAACACACAACCCACAACTGAAATTCAGGTTGATATTATCAAAGCCACTGCAGACTACACCCAAGTCAGTAGACTAATCCTACTATTTGAGATTACTCCCATCTCTCAAGGAGGAAGTAATGGAGAGGAGCCGAGGTGATTTTTAATCTACTTCTTTACTAAAATATCTACCAATCTGGATTGCTTTACCTTTTTGAGGGGAAGTCCAAATGATGTCTTGTCAGGCTAATAAGAAGGAAGACACACCTAAGTTTCACCTTTCAGCCTGCACTCAGGATTTTGGTCATTGAGAGAGGCCATTGAGACAACTTATTGTTTACTGCTAGCCTAACTAATAAATTGATCATTATTTGACCATTGTATTTCAGTTTACTCTAATTTTCAAACATAACAGGGTTTCATCACTCTGAATTTTCTGCCCCAGAAAGTACATGACTGGAAGCTTCCTTCTACTGAACAACAATAGCAACAAAATAAATCTTCAACTCATGCTGTGTGACTGCCAATCACAGAATGTCATAATCTCCAAAGAACCTAAATTCCAAGTCACACAAAAAGCAGTTGAGAGATGGATGGGGGAAATAGACAGACTAGACTGCAGGACATTTCCAGTGAGGAACTACATACAAGAAGCATCATTCAAGATATTATCAAAGAGATGTGTGACTGGAAAGGAAAATTGGACCATGAGATAATGAGGAAGACTGAAATTCCATGTGTTCCCATTGGAAGCCACATTCAAGAATCTTAGAATAAGACAGCACATTAGGTAGCTGCCCAGTGGAGGACCGACTGGAGGTCATAGACAAAATCTACAACAGGTGAGATGATGGGTTACAGTTTGTATCATCTGAGGGACTACCTATAGCACATAACAGAATTCCACTGAAATGTCATGGCAATGTCCACCTAATACCATGACCTGCTTTCCATTCTTTTTCTCATATAGACTTTTCATGCCAGAACTGTTTTCCCCCTTCAACATCCCTTTCCTCTCCAACTTGGAGACATTCAATAAAGGCTGTCTGACCATTTTCTGGTTATTATAATGGGGATTGTTTTTGTACATGATTGGGACTAGATGGCTAAAGAGGCTGCCAGGTGATGCAATGGACATTGTGCTGGGCCTGGAGTTAGGACAATCTGATTCAGACACTTACTAGCTGTGTGACCCTGGGCAAGTCAACCCTGTTTGCCTGAGTTGCTTCATCTGTAAAATGAGTTGGAGAAGGAAATGTGCAAACCACTCCAGCATCTTTGCCAAGAAAATCTCAAATGGAATGATGAAGAGTCAGATACTACTGAAAAAATGACTAAACAAATGAGATGGCTAACTCTCAAATTATGTGATGCTGTAAATGAGAATTTTTTATATTAATTATAGTAGAATGATAAAGGGAAGACATTCTCACCAGAGGTCCACCAAGGCTTTGGGACTTCAGAGCTCTGATTACTCCCAGAAGGGTACAAATAAACATATAATATAAAGACATATCTAAGCTGAAAAAGAGAAGGAAGAAAAGGAGGAAGAAAAAGAAATTAGGAGAAGGAAATGGTTGTAAAATTAATGGATCCCTAGCTTTAATCTTATGTCATGCCACCTTCTGCTCTGGTTTTCAGGCATTTTCCCCTGTACCTTGCAATGCAAGATTTGATGAAGTAATACCTTGGTTAGAATTCACTGTTCCATTACAGGAGAAGGTATTGAAGAATCTTAAAGATTAAATATCATTTATAACACTTATGAGAATCAATTAATTAATTAATACTTAAGAGTATTATGCCAACAAGGCAGCATGAGGGAGGGGGAAGTAAGGCCCTCAGACCTCTGGGGATAGAAGTGTGAGAGGTGAGGTTTTTTTTTTTTTTCTGGGAAATCGGAATTTATAGTGTTTGCTATGAATTCATTTCTTCATTTTATCCTGAAACTCTGTTATAAGTAAATTGTCATTTTTCTTTACAACTCCGCTGTGATATCATGTTATTAATTATAGGCTGGTTATAAGAAAGCAATGAAAAATGATTGGGAATTCAGAGCTTTTGATTAGAATATGAATACAACCAATTTATAGGATAGCTAGGTGGCTCAGTGGATAGAGTATCAGGCCTACAGTCAGGAAGAATCATCTTCCTGAGTTCAAATCTATCTTCAGACAGATTAGCTGTGTAACCCTAGATAAGTCACTTAACCCTGTTTGCCTCAGTTTCCTCATCTGTAAAATGAGCTAGAGAAGGAAATGGCAAGCCATTGCAGGATCTTTGCCAAGAAAACCCCAATCAGACAAGACTGCAATGACTTAACCACAAGTGGAAGGGACCTGTTGTAGATAGCATATTTATATGATAATAAATATCAGTTATAGAATAATAATAATGAGGAAGAAGAGGAGAGAGAATGTTTTGCTAGTGATTACTTAAGTTACTCAGAACTGGTGCCCTCTTGGATCTAATAAGACTTTCGAATCTCCTAAAATTGAAAAGGAACCTTCTTTTGGCTTTGGCTTATGTATGACTGTTGCAATATGATCCTGGCTCAGGTACTAGAAGGCTTGTTCGATTCCTCAGTATTCACAGATTTAATCTCTTTCTTGGCTTCCTGGGCTCTGCTAGAAGTCTTCTGCCTTCCACCTACTTCCTGGCATCAGGAACACTTGAAGCTATCTCTTCACTGATCAAAGTTTAATACTGATCAGACCTTGTTAACAGCTAGTATCCTTATCTAGGACTCTGTGAGCTAGATCAAGCAGAGGCAAGATGCAATGCTTTACTTGTATAATGATAACGATAATCATGACAACAACAACAACAACAACATGAGCTTTCATGCCAATTCTCTGATTCAATTACAAATGCAATCATCTTATCTATCTGCATAATAACCCCTGCAGAATATTAAATATAAAGGAATAACAGCAGTATAGAGATTTTATCCTTAGGTTGTTCCTAATTGAACTCCACCAAAAAAAAAAAAAAGACAAAGGACCTGGAGTCAAGAGGACCTGAGTTCAAATCTGGCCTCAGACACACAACACTCACTAGATGTAGTGTTATGGGCAAATCTGTAACTGGGCAAATCACTTAACCCCAATTGCCTCACAAGCAAATAAACAAATAAAACAAAAAGGTGAAAATGAGATGAATTGATAACAACCATGAATATAGCATGAAAAATATCGTTTAGAATTCAATAAATAAACTGAACTAGAAATATTATCATAACTTATTGCTCAAACCACTTGCATGTCACAGTAACATTGATACATAAACTTTTATGAATGTTTTTAAGTGTAAGCAGCTAGGTGGAGTGGTAGATAGACTACTGGACTTGAAATTATGAAAATAAATTAATCAATACCATATACCTTCTTACATTTTTTGGTGTGCTAGGGGAATGAGAACTCTTTATCACAAATAGAGAAAGGTATTTAAAGAAAAGTATCCTCAAATTCACTGAAAAAAAAAAGTACCTAATAAGAATTACACCTCTCTAAGGGAAAAAAAAGGCTTTCCAGGTCAAAGAAAAATACTTACTTCACAGTGTTTATAAGTTGTATTTTTAACAGGACTCCAGTATAAAGTGGAAAATTTTCAGATTTTTTTTTTTACGGAGAACAAGATGGTAATAAAAGAAGACATTTTCAAACTATTCTTAAAACCATCACAGTTGGGAAAATAGTTTATTACTGGTAGAGGCATGGTTGCTTGAAGGAAGAGGAAAAATTCAAATTATTCTTTTTTTTCTAAAACATTTAAAAATGATGTAATAAAAAGACTACCTGTTGTTGACAGTACTTTTTTTTTTCCCTTAGGACTTGGACAGCCTGTTATTTCCATAGATATCTACCACCTTCTTTATAGGAAGCCTTCTCTAACTTCTCTTAATTCCAATGCTTCCTTTGTTAATTATTTCCTTTGAAACTTGTATATAGCTTGCTTTGCCTACATTTATTTGCATGTTGTCTCCCACATTAAATTGTAAACTCCTTGAGGTTTTTTGCATCTTTTGGTATCCTCTTAGAACAATGCCTGGCATCTAGTAGGCTCTTAAATGTTTTTTGATTGCCAGGAAAAAGAAAGGGAGAGAGAGAGAGAGAGAGAGAGAGAGAGAGAGAGAGAGAGAGAGAGAGAGAGAGAGAGAGAGAGATGTAAAGTAAGGCCCCTAGAGTGTTGGTTGAATCCCTGGAGGTTGACTTAGAAGAAAGCCTGCACAATGCCCACAAAATTAGGCATGCATGGATCAGGGACCTTTACAAGGCTACCCACATCATTGGAATGGGACTGCCAAAAAGGTATTGATGTAAGACATTTAAACATAAGATATGTTTAGGGTTAAACTTAGGGTTCAAAAAGTTCCAGTTTTTAAGTAGTTATTTTCTGTGTGCTTATTTCCAGAGTAGCCACCTTTGACTTAGTGTCTCCTAGAAAAAAAATACACTGTCCCTCACCTACTTTTCCTCCTTGGACAGCTTTTTTTATTTTGTTTTGTTTTGTTTTGGTGCTGAAAACATTCCCTGATACATCACTGCATCATATTCCACCCATCTGAAGTCAGTTCAGTTAATTTTTTTCTTTTCTCTACTTAGTTTCTGTATTTTGATAAAAGGGGAGGGATTGATATGACAAATGAAAGTTTAAAGAAAAATAATAAAGTAATTTTATAACTCATGCCAAACTCTATAACTGAAATTATACATTAAGTACCAAAAAATGAAGGTATTGGTTAACTTTTTTTGATCAGCTGTGAAGAAAAAGAAAAGTTACTACAAAAACTATGCATAGCAGGCAAACTGTTGAACTAACTGATTTCAAACAGTGCTGCTGTTATTTCATCCTCAGATTTAGCTCACTGCTCATTATTACAAATATGGCCCATTTTGTACCTGGATGAGATTTTATTCTGACACATTTCAATGCACAGAACAAAATTACCTTTGGTTTTCAAAAATATTCTGCGAATTCTGCCTAATATTTACAACAGATTTTGCCCAGGGTTGTCTATAGGAGAAAGGTAGAAGTGGGATGCCGGTACACTTCCCTCGAGGTGCTTGGTCAAACTGTAGGAAGGAGTACTTTATAGGATCATCCAGTTCCATGATAGCAGCCAGATTCCCAAAACGGTTACAATAATTGGGTGCACTGAAAATGGTTAGCACCTTTTCATTATGAGTCCAGAAGTAACCTTGCTCCACAAGTTGGTGACCCCTGGAAATCAGAGAAAGACCATTGGCCAGCCTAAATATTTGAGAAATGTCTGGTCCAAATGTGTGCCCAGCCCCTCTTGGAGAGGGCCTCCATCCCTCAATATTATCTGGATCAGACCATAATAGATCACAGATTGGTCCATTCATGGTGACTTCTTTAAAACGATCCAAAGCTCTTATATGATCCAGGGTATCTATGGAAGGAGACAGACCCCCATGAACGCAAAATACCTGGCTGTCAACTAAAGCTGTAATGGGGAAATAATCGAACAGGTCTGTAAAATATTTCCAGACATTGGCATTTCCATACTTCTTTTGGCATTCATCATAAAAACCATAAACTCGAGTAACATCTCGAGACTCGTGGTTTCCTCTCAATAATGTAATAGACTTTGGATATTGTACTTTTAAAGATACAAGTAAAGTCACAGTCTCTACTGAGTGCAAGCCTCTGTCAACATAATCACCCAAAAAAAGGTAGCATTTGTCTGGTAATTTCCCACCAATCGTAAAGATATGCAAAAGATCCTGAAATTGACCATGGATATCGCCGCAGACAATAATGGGACAAGCGACTTCCTGAACGTTTGACTCTTTCATTAGGACTTCCTTAGCCTTCTCACATAGAGTGCGCACTTGGTTCTCATTGAGGAGTTTACAATCTTTCAGCTGTTTTATCCATTGGTCCAACTCTTTGATGAACATCTCCTTCATGGAAGCGTTTGCAGTTCCTGGTTGCCCAGCAACCCCTCTCCCCACCTGTTTCGACATCACGTTCCCACTTTCTCTCCAGTCCTACCTGGCTGCTTCAAACCAGTCTTGCCCCTCTGTTGCAGGGGAGGGAAAGGGACGGGACGGAGGCCAACCACCTTCTGTCCACGCGCCTCTCAGCCCCTCCTCCTCAGCTCTCGCGCTGTGCTGCGTTTGGCAAAGGCTTCAGGCTTGGCTGGACTGGGGGAAAGGAAGAACTTGTGGAATTCATTCTTTTGTTCTTTCATACGACTATATGTGTGTGTGTGTGTGTAATATGTTATTATAGATAATATATTATATATATATATAAAATACCTACTATGTGCAAGAGAGGCAGTTTGGAATAACTGATAGGCAGAATGCTTTGTACAGAAGATCTGTAATCATGCCCCACCTGGGACTCCCAAGACAACTCTCTGAGACAGTCCTGGGCAGATGATGACCTGGTTTATTCTAGGGAAGTTCCTCAACTGGGAGAGGAGGAATACCTGTGAAATCATGAATGTATTCCCTGTCCCTACGATGTGTCAGACTGAGATAGGGTCAGGGTCTAGAACAAACAAAAACAAACAAAATCTAAATTAAACAGTCCTTGCATTCATGGAGCTTAGTGTAAGCAAAAACACAAATACAAGAAAGAAAATCTATTTATATATATATATATATATATATATATATATATATATATATATATATATATATGTATGTATGTATGTATGTGTGTATATATGTATATATGCATATTTGTGTATATGTATATATGTGTGTGTGTGTGTGTGTGTGTGTATATATATATGTATGTATGTATGTATATGTATATATTCAAAGTAAATCCAGAGTAATGGGGGAGGGAGAGAAAGAACAGGTGGGGGGACAACACTACCAATTGGGGATGGAGGGAAAATGGTGATGAGAAAGAGCATTTGAGCTGAGCCTGGAAGAAAGCTAGGACTCTTCTTGGTAGAAATGAGAAAGGTATGGGAGCAAAACCTATGTAAATACCAAGGAACTGGAGATGGAATGTCCTCTAGGAGGAACAGTAAATGGGCCATTTTACTGTGCCCACATTGTCCAGATCTCTAGAGCTGAGGTTTTCAACTTGTGGTAGGACTTTTGGAGATTCTTTGGAGGTGGTATCAGTAAGGTCAAACTAATTTTATAATAATACTAAGACATTATTTGTATTTTAAAATCTCCTCCCCCACCCCCCACACACTTCCAAGTACATATTGTGTGACTTGTATTTACACGGCAACAGACTGAATGCAGAAGCAAGTATGAGAAACCAGCTGTGTTCTATTAAGCCAGACATTAAAGAAATTTGGAAAAAAAATATGTAAAGCTTTTGTGGGCATTTCCCAACTTGGATTCCTTGAGAGATCAGGAAGAACTTGATCCACCATGACTTCTTTAAGACTGTAAGTCAAAAAGTAAAGACTGAAAGAAAAAATAATTTATTAGTGCACTAAGAAAAAGTATTAGGGCTAGTTCTTAGAGTGCACATTGGGTTTTTGATAGCTTTTTAGGTTCCCTGAGAGCACACAGTCAATCAGTGGTTTCCTGGGGAAGTGGTCATGCCTTGGGGTCACAGGTTTTGCTAAACGTCAGGTTCATTTCTGTGGGAAATGCATTTTTTTCTGTGGTTAGTCTTTTCAGAATTCCCTGTGTTGGCAGGAAGTGTCTAATATGGTGTAGTCCCCTTTTAAAATTTAATCATTTTTGTTGATCTTGTCATAACCAACAGGGAGACAAGTAAAGTACAAATCCCATAACTCTTTCCTTTGTTTTAGAGGTCACTTTTATCTTAGAAGAACATGCTTCCTCAAATTCACTGCACACATGCTTTTCTTCATCCTCCAAAAGAGTAATGCTGTTCTTCTTATTATTTTTGTTTTGGAAAATATTATTTTTCATGAAAAAGAAACTATTTTGGTTAACATATACTAGGTCTAATTTTATTTTTAAATGAATTAATAAATATTTTAAAAAATTATCGGCTGCGATTTCTAATATAGTAAATATTGATAGATACAATTCGCATAAACACAACATCTTTGTGGTATATAAAAAGACTCCTCTGTAATGTTTAAGAGTATTAAGGGGTCCTGGAAACCCAAAAGTTTGAGAGCTACTGCTCTAAAATAAAGTCCCCAACCAGCATGCTATGTGGATCCCCTGTGTAGGATGTATATGAGGGCACATCAGGAATAGAGAAGTTGAAAGCTGCACCACTGAAGAAACTATCGGCTTCAGTGGGTTAGCAGGTCCACTGTACTATGGAAGTATCTCATTCACATTTATTGCTGACAATTTAATATTGTTGGTGCTAAAGTTCAGGAAAGAATTGCCTACGTTTAACATTTGGCTCTGCTGAAATGAGATATTTTAAGATTGCAACTGAACTTAGAATTGTATAATAAAACCCAATATCTTTACCATATAATGTTTTCCTCTATCTTTTTTTCTGCCTGAAAATGGAAAAAGAAAGTTTTCCTTATGAAACAATATTTCTTAAATTGTTTATAAATACTTTTGAACACTGCATTTTTTGTGAACTCAAATTGAAATTTTCTACTTATTTATAAGTATTTTAATTTTGATAAGAAAGACTTTATAAATATTCCAACCAGATTATTAATGCTTGATTGAAGTAATCTTTATGCAAAATGTTTATCCTCTATCTAGGAAAATATACAGGCGTTTGGTGTCTCAAGACTATATCTACAATAATAGGAATAGAGAACTGATGTGATTTTATTGATGTAAGGAAGTTACACATGAGGACTTTCCACTCCAGCATTTCAGTTCTGTACTCATTCTTCTCTTTATAGTTTTAAGGAGTTGTCTGCACATATTGGAATGCTTAGTGACTTGCCCAAGGTCACACAGTCTATGACTGTCATAGATGGGACTTGACTGTAGATCACCCTGGTGCTGAGGCTAATCATAATAATATCAATAGGTAGCAATTTATGTAGTGCCTACTAAATGCTAGTCATTATGCTAAGTATTTTGCAAATATCTCATTAGATTCTCGGAACAACCCTGGGAAGTAGGTGCTATTATTACTCCCATTTTATGGTTGGAGAGACTGAGGCCAACAGAGGTTAATGAACTCACCAAAGGTCACACAGCTATTCTTCAAGGTCAAATTTGATCTCAGTTCTTCTTGAATCCAGATCAAATGATCTATCCACTGTGCTATCTAGATGCTTCCTAGATGTCTGTCTGGTACCTACATACAATATTCTATATGTCATGAGGGAGGAAGGATTGAAGGGGAAAAGGAGGAGGAGAAAGAGAAGGAGGAGCTGCTAGGTGGCACAATGGATAGAGTGCCAGGCCTAGAATCAGGAAGACCCAAGACAAGTCACTTAACTCTGTTTGCTTCAGGTCCTCCTCTGTAAAATGAGCTGGAGGAGGAAATGACAACGAATATCTTTGACCAAAAAAACAAAAATAAATGGGATCACAAAGGATAGGACTCTACTGAAAAAACTGAACAACAATAACAATTGGGAAAATAACATATCCACAGACATTTAAATCCAACAATTCATACCAGTGTAAGAGACATTTATTAAGCATATATGACATACAAGTTGCTGTATTAGTGGTAAGACTACAGAGAAACAGCCCTTGCCCTCATGGCCCTTTCACTCTGTAGGGGAGGAGATGGGATGTGTACAGATAAATATATACAAACTATGTGCAAAGTGATTTCTAGGGCCTCAGTTCTTAACCTGGCATGCACGAATTTAGAAAAAAATGTTGATAACTGTATTTTGACATAATTGGTTTACTTTTAAATCTTATTCACTTTATTTTATGCACTTAGACATTCTTCCAGGAAGGCCCTCACATATTTCTGCCAAACAAGACCCATGACTCAAAAAGGGTGAAACAGCCTGGTAGCTGGAGAGGGTACTAATCCTAAAAGAGGTGAGATAAAGAAAGGGGTGCCCCATCTAACAGGTGACACCTGAGTTGGCCTTTGAAAGATACTAGAACTACTAACAACATTCATCTCTAATTATGCATAAGGCACAGAGTGTACAATAAGATAGATGTGACATTTCCTGCTCCTAAGGAATTCATAATCTAATTCCCTTCACAAGTACTACCTGAGAGGCAAGACAGCAAACTTGGCTCCTGCAGCTTTAAAATACAGAACAGACAATGTAGAAAACACTGATACAATTACCTGACTGAATGATTTTGTGCACATTTTTCAAATATAGGCAACTATATCAAGTAATACAGAACTACAGAAAGCTTTTTTTTTTTTGGCTTTTGAGAAAAGCACTCTGAGACAGCCAATGTTGGTTATAGTGGGAAGTCATAAAAAGAAAAGAAACTTGCTATCTTACTTTTGGCCCTGGGGCATGCAGTCCTATTTTTTTAAAAGCAAACATAAGAAGCAGATTTTCTTCTCCTTGTTGCAGGAAGAATGGCTATTTTTAGATTGTACTAGGCACAACAAAACATAGGCACCAAACACCTTCCCCACTGACTTCAATCCCTGAAAAATTTGACAATTGTAGCTAATCTTTCCACCAATTGTGATTGAGATATTCTTGGAAAGTCACTATTTATGAAAAATTCATGACACTGTGAACTTAGTTGTGGTGGTCCTTGGAGAATAGCCATACACTCTATCACAAGGTCCATTCTCAGGGCCTCTACAGTTTCCTTTGTTCTTTCTTTCCTTCCTTCCTTCCTTTCTTTTTCTTTATTTCTCAAATTTGTGACCTTTTATTGATCAAGAACATTTTTTTTTACAATGTAACTTAATAAACCTCAATACTCTAGTGAGGTAGGTAAATAAACAATACTGCACATTTAAATACATAGGTAGGCAGGAGTATGTGTAAATAATAAGCTCACTTATTAAATAATGAGAAATGGAATAGAACTCTCTCTCTAGTTTCAACCCCCAAATCATAATATAGTTAACTTTAACAATAATGATCACCTGATTGGTAATGGGTTTGTTTCAAGTTTCAAATTGGTGAATTTTCTGTATCAGTTGTGTCAAGAAACTTTTCATAATTTGGTTACCACTAAAACAATTTAGCTATTGTTGATTATTGTTTTAATGTGTAAACTAGCCAAAAAGTTTACTTGGGTTATGTATGGCTT